TACGATGACCTGGATGACTGAGAACCTTCACAGACAGATATATATTTTAGTTCTGCTGAGCCAAATAAGACAGGTCAGGGTGAAGAAGTGACAGCCAAAGAAAAGCTTACCACAAAACGGAGAAGTTATGACAAATCAGACTATAAGGCAAAAAGAAAGTGCAGCTTTATGGTTTCATGGACAAAAGAATTTCTGTGGCTGCAATATGACGAGCTAAATAACCAGGGCTGCACATAAGTGGTCCGCAGGTGCGCATTCGCTGTCAAAATAAAAAACACGCACAAGGGTTAGGGTTAAATTTAAAAACTGTACTTTTGAGTTAAAATATATATTTATAATTTTAATAAATGACAAATTAAAAAGGCATGAACATTTTTTTTGTATCGAAAAAATATCAAACCGTGACACCAAAGTATCGAATCGAACCGAACCGTGAATTTTGTGTATCGTTGCACCCCTAGTAATTACATATTCCAGCTGTGGTTTGTATTTACACAGAGCTGTGACAAAGCATTTGGCCACTACCAGATTTCCTGTTATTTTGTATATTTGTCACACTTTGTTTCAGTTTTTACTTAACTATGCCGCACCTGAAATAATTCAGGCAGGATACACTCAGCTTCACACAAATGAAGCAGAATACAGTCACACATAGCAATGCATAACCTAGGAGCTCCGCCTTACTTTGAAATCTATTTAACATGCACCATGACAGGGCCAATTATTAATTAATTCATGTTTAAACTTAAGTTAGAGTTTTTATATGGGAATATTTGCACTTCTGTTAAATTAAGCTTTTATGTTTCTTTTGTTTAGGAGCAACAGAAAAACAGGAACACTAGGAGTCCAGAAACAACAAAAACAAAAAAACTAGGCACAAGAGTCAAGGCCAGCTGCGTGGAAAGTGGCAGCACCGACACAGTTCAGGGGGCCGACTGCGTCGAAAGCCACTGTAGCATAGGTGAAGCAGATCCCGACTCAAGCCACATGGAAACCCGCAACGGTGAGACAGGTGTGGATGCCGACTGCTTGGAAAGCGCCAACAGTGAGACTGTCCAGGGCACTGGCCGTGAGGACAGTGGCAGCAGTGACGTTATGTAAATGAAGCAGGTCTGGAGGCTGACCGTGGTGGCAACACAGTTCAGGAGGCTGCCCATGACGATCCTAAACTGATGGCCTGGAAAGTGGCCAGCGACGGTGAGGTGCAGGCCGTGCATGTGCAGGCTGGTCTGGGTGAGGACGTGGTCATGGCCGTGGACTCATGGACAGCTTGGCTAACAGCTGGTATGCAGGACCAGACGAGACGGGACCAGAAGAGGCAGGACCAGACGGTAGCATGGTGTTTGCAGGTGGTAGCACGGAAGCCGTGTATGGTGGCGCTCACGGTGGTGCTGATGGCTGGATGGGCTCGCCTGAGCTCCCAGCAGGAACAGAAAACAACTGGGTGGACTCTCCAGCGCCCCCAGTCAACACTGATGGTGGCGTAGAAGTCACGGATGGCTGAACCGACTCCTCGGAGTCCCCAGCAGAGACAGACAGCTGGCGCGGCTCTCCAGAGCCTCCAGCCGGAACAAATGGTTGGACAGACTCTTTGGAATCCACAGCAGAGACAGCCGGCTGGTGAGGCTCACCTGAGCCCCCAGCGGGAACAGAAACAGAGCCAGCAGACACAGAGCTAGCAGGTGCGGAGACCCCTGGCTAAGACAAAGCAAGGTCACCAGGTGCAGAGACCACTGGCTGAGACGAAGCTGGCTGGAGCTGTGCAGGGCATTTGCTCTGCTCAGGCAGCGACAGCAAAATGAAGTCCTCAGCTGGCTGAATAAGTTTAGCAGAGCTTCCAGCAGAGGATGGAGGTGGCTGGAGTGGCTCACCAGAGCCATCAGCGAACACAAGGAGGTGCTGGACTGACTCTCCTGAGCCTCCAGCGAGAACAGGCAGTGGGCCACAAAGTGCAGAGGCCCCTGCCTGAGGCGAAGCAGAGCCAGCAGGTGTGGAGAACCCTCCCTGAGCTGGCGGCTTAGGAGGTGGATGAGCAGAAGACTGAGCTAGCAACTGAACTGATGACTCGGGTTGTAACAGAGTACAGGGTGGGCCATTTATATGGATACACCATAATAAAATGGGAATGGTTGGTGATATTAAAGTCCTGTTTGTGGCACATTAGTATATGTGAAGGGACAAACTCCTCAAGATGGAGGCCTGAGGAGTTTGCCCCCTCACATATACTAATGTGCCACAAACAGGAACAGAGGCAAGGACTTGATACTGAACAGAAGGAACACAGAGTACAGGGAGAGGAGTGACTTGAGACACGACAAGTAAATGTGTTTTACTTACATAAAGAGCAGAGAAGGAACAAGTTTACAAAGAACACCAACAATTGCAGCAGCTGACTTCTCAGATTCAACAACGCCAACTTGTCCTACATTTTGCCACATCTGAAGGTTCTGATTGGTTCATCACCAGCCTCTTACAGAAAGTGATTTGTTGATTTGCACTGAAAGGAAAAATCCCTTGTGGCCTATTTTGAATTTTACATCATGAAACTGTCAGTTTTGCTTCATACTTTCCAGAACAGCATAAGACCTCATTTTTATACATTACAAAAATGGCCCCAAAGCTGATAAAGTATGGAGAATAGATTGAGTATAAAAAATACTCACTTGACTGGACCAGTTAGTGATAAGCAATTGATTTATTGAAACAGCGCATTTGTGCCTTTATCATAGGCATAAAAATATCTAAAAACATTTTGTGTTATTTACTGATGTGTCCATAACATAGACAACATAGGCACAGGGTTATTTTGTTGGCTTCAGTCTTTTTTTCTGGTGTAAGACTTATTAAAAGTAAAAGTAAATACTGGATAAATACTTATATTTAAGTTTTTATTGTTTCACAAAAGGTTAGAAATGGAATGTCCACAGTTTATAGTTTATTTGCGGATGTTTTTTTAAATAAGCTTGGCAGAGGCAAAGAAAAAGCAAAAATAGAAAGAATAAAGAAAAGAATAATGAAATCATGTCAATTCTACTTAATTAACTCTGAGCTAATGATGAGTTTGCAGTGAGGTGGAACACATCTTCAGTGCTGGAAGTCCCTATCTCACCACCAACCTCTCTCACTCTAAAAATAAGAACATAGTGCAGATCAATTAAATGCATCACGCTTATATCAGAATATATCAGTTCTCCCTGAGCTGCATCTTCTTAATCTAAATTGTGATGCTGTTGTAGAAACCTACAGTGTATCCAGAAAGTATACAGCGCTTCACTTGTTCCACATTTTGTCATTACAGCCTCATTCCAAAATTGATTAAATAAAATTTCACCTCAGATTTCTACACACCTTACCTCATAAGGACTTGTTGGTGAGGAAGACTCCCCCCCTCACAATGACCAGACTCTGTGTCTGACCTCGGCTGATGTGAGGAAAACTCTTCACAGAGTTAACCCAGGGAAAGCTGCTGGTCCAAATAACATCCCTTGGAGAGTACTCCGAGAACGCGCAGACCAGCTGACAGATATCTTCACTGACATCTTCTACCTCTCCCTGAGCACTGCTGTCGTCCCAATGTGCCTCAAGGCCATCATCATCATTCCTGTGTCAAAGAAGTCTTCGGTGTCCTGCCTCAATGACTACCTTTCAGTTGCACTCACACCCATTATAATGAAATGCTTCAAGAGTCTCCTCATGAGTCACATTAAGACCACGCTGCCACCCACACTGGACCCACTGCAGTTCACGTGTCGCCCCAACCGGTCAACAGACGACACTATCGCCACCACCCTACATCTTGCCCTCACCCACCTGGACAATAAAGACACATATGTACAAATGCTGTCCATAGACTTCAGTTCAGCATTTAACACAATCATTCCTCAGCACCTGATTGGAAAACTAAGCCTGCTGGGCCTGAACACCTCCCTCTGCAACTGGATCCTGGACTTTCTGATGGAGAGACCTCAGACAGTCTGGATCGGTAACAGCATCTCCAACACAGCCACACTGAGCACTGGAGCCTCTCAGGGCTGTGTGCTCAGCCCACGGCTGTTCACTTTGCTGACTCACCACTGTGTAGCAGTGCACAGTTTGAACCACATCATCAATTTTGCTAATGACACGACTGTGGTGGGTCTCATCAGCAAGAACGAGTCAGCATACAGAGACGAGGTGAAACCGCTAACAGACTGGTGTAGAGTCAACAACCTGTCTCTAAATGTGGACAAAACAAAGGAGATGACACTCTTCACCCTGCTGTCTTCTGGAAAGAGGCACCAGAGCATTCATGCCCTCACTGCCAGACTGTGAAACAGCTTCTTCCCCCAGGCTACACACACACGTATCGTTCTGTTCTGTCTGGTGTTGCACTTTTTTTTGTTTATTGTTTATTTTGTTTATTGTCTGTTATATGCCATTTGTAGTGCCATGGTCTTGGAGGAACTTTGTCTTGTTTCACGGTGTACTTTACCACTGCACATGGTTGGAATGACAACAAAACCACTTCACTTCACTTGACTTGATCACTACCAGCAGCCGTGACTGTCTACATGAGGCAAGTTGGATCCATGCATGCAATGCTGAAAGTCAGTCAACTTTAACAAAAAGAAATGAACAGTAAATTTAAATTGTTTGATTTTATTGTCTGATCAACTTTTTTTTATTAACTTTATTAGTGTTTCACAACATTTTTTGGCACATGGCTGTGTATTGTAGAACATGAATAACACTACAACAGCATTTTTAAAATTATCATTATTGTTTTAGCTTTAGACAGTTCCTTACCTTATCGGATTATAAAACCTGCTTTGAAATATTGTTTTTAAAGGGATATTTATTCTGTTGACAAAATGCAATTCTCCCCCCCCCCACACACACACACACACGCACACACACTTTATTTCTATGTGTACCTGAGGCAACCTTCTTTAATCAGAAATGAAAAAGTCACATCCTCCAGGATTTCATTGAATAATTTAATTTTTTATAACAGTGAGTAATTGTGATTGTGACAAATGGGACTATTGCTGTGAACCAACAACACGAGGCCCAGAGATCTCAAAGTAAGTAACTGTCAGAACAACAGTTTATTATAACAGTGACACTAATGGATCATTTCTGGATCATCCTGTCTGTGATGAAGAGAAGGCTCTTTACATCAGCCATTGAAATGAAGAAAGCTCTGCACAAAACAACCACAAAGAGTATCATTGAGTATAGATTATTATCTATAGGGTCTAACTTACAATATAAAGCACCTTCAGGCAATGGTTGCTGTATAAATGGAATCGAATTGAACTGAAAGAGAAGACTTCACAAGGTCACATATGCAAACCAACAGTTTAAAAACACACAATTTATAAACTCAGTGCTTACAGTAAAACAGTGAGATACGCTGCATGAAAAGCTGAAAATGCTTTTTGTAAAGGCATAATATGTGTTAATGATAAAAAAAAAACCTATCATATACAAATGATAGAAAACGAGCGAGAAATTTGATCAGCGTGTCAGCTTTCTCACATCCCTCTGTCTTACAGAAAAGATGCTAAAATATAAGTAAGATCAGTTAACAAGAAACTTTACACTTAGAACAAAAAAAACAGAAAAAAAAAAGAGCAGGCTTCAAATCGATCGAGCAGGATAATGTTAGGATGCGCTAGAGGACAGCCTGAACATTTCAAAGCTGCAGTAATAAGTTCATGTCTAGACATGTGGCATCAAAGTAGTAACGGCTTCAGTTCAGTGTAGCTTCACCCTGGAGTACACACATTCACTCCAGATACCATCTCTCTGTTCATTTGATCTCTTGATTTCGAGGTTTTCTTCACCTCGAACCTGACAAACAGTACAATAATGTGAATGAAATCTAAGTTATGAGCCATTAAGGATAGTGTAATGATTATATAAATATTCAACTAAACAGCACATACCTTGGACAGAGGTGAAAGTCCTGAGCTAAACTCTGAAAAGCAGGCAAAGTGATTGATGTTATGCTCAGTGGAACACACAGTATAGAGATCAACAGCATCGGTTACTGTACAGTGGTAGCGGTTTCTCTTACTGATCATGAACACAGCGAAAACCAGATAAACACCCATGATGATGATGATGATGATGATGATGATGCATGACAGGGTTCTCTCACAGACACAAAAACTCTCGTGATCATTGATGTCGTCTGGCAATACAGACAGGAGACATTAGAATTTCATTTCAAACCAACTTCTAATGTATGAATTGAAAAAGCAAGAAAGGTTATAAAAAGATAATCATCATGTGTGTATTTGGGAAATTATGAGTTTTAAACACAAGATTTTCTACTGCAAAAAAATCTTAAGTAAATTGTACTCCAAAGTTACTTATACCAATCTTGGTCCCATTTCCAAGCAGTATTTGTCCACATGCATTGACAGCACAGTAGTAGACCCCAGCGTCATCCCGGCTCCTGACGACAAAGTTGTACTCGCAGGTAGTTCGTCCTCTGTCAGTTCTCTGGGAGATGTTGTTCTTATTGTCAGAGCAATAAATCATCTCTGGAGCAGAACGATCCGAGTTTTTCAGCCACATGAAACTAGTGAGTTCTGCTGTGCATTGAGCAGAGTGAACAGAACAGCTGAGAGTCACAGAGTCTCCGGACCTCACTGACTTTGATTCTGGCTGCTGGACGACAGAGTCGCTGATTGTCTTTGCACCTTGGAAAACAAACCATTTGGACTGTGATTGTTAGCACTGTGTTCATATTCAGTTGAAATTATGTGAAATGCAAACATGTCCAAACGTACCTGTCCACATCAGAAATGTTCCTGACCCAAACTGAACCTCACTTATGTGTAAGACTCCACAGAAGTATGTTCCAACATCTTCCCATGATGTTTTATTTATGGTCAGATGATTGTTTGTCATGTCAGATTTAACTGAAGAACGGTTAACAAATTCATCACTGAACTCTCTCACATTATAGTAAGAATCAGCTTTAACCACCAGCTGTAGTTTCCTCCCTGTAGTCACCTTGTACCACACAGTTTTGGTTGATGCGCTCTTTATGAAGCATTTAATAGTAGCTGAGTCACCAATCTTCACTGTTTTCAAAGATTCAGGCTGAGAGACGTCACTTAACTGTGCTGCACCTGAAATAATTCAGACAGACTCAGTTTCACACAAATGAAGATCAAAAGTTTACACAAGTCAATTTGTTTTACTTACATAAAGAGCAGAGCAGGAAAACATTCACAAAGAACATCTTCATCTTGTCTCCTTCTTCAGTACAGCAGTCCACACCTAATGAAGCAGCAGTATACTTCTCAGATTTAAAAACGCCAGCTTGTCCTACATTTTGCCACATCTGACAGGTCTGATTGGTTCATCACCATCACACTGCAGAACATGATTGGCTCTGTCGAGTAACGTGGCGTAGCGAGAGAGATTGAGGTCCCCCTGGCCACCCCCTGCCATCAAAGCTGAGGGGGTAAAAGGACTTGACATTCAGCCTTATGTGTTAAAAATGTGTTAATAAAGTTTAGAGTGGTAAAACAGATCATCATCTTCATTTGTAATCAAAGACAAATAAAAAATGTAAGTGATCGGTATGCAGAGAAATGCAGTTTTCTCTGCATACCAATTGTGGAAATGTCTGTTCTAATGTTTAGAGTTTTGTGTGTAGACATGAGCCATAATCAACCTTTTGTTCATTGGACTGAGAAGATACGGACTGTGTCACCAACCAGTCAATATACTTTTGAACAACAAAAATAATGTTAAATGTTGTAAACGTCAAACACTGAATGATGGTTCATTGTCATTGTGCTGACAGTTAAATGTGCTCAATACTAATCAGAAAATAATCAGTTAACGTTAATTATGTTTAAGTTGACAATTTTAATATTGTGAAAAAAAAATGACTTTAAAGACAGGTTTAATCCAGGCTGCACTGAAAACATATTTAGAAAATGCCTTGAGAGATATGAGTGTGCGTATGTGTGTGTATGTGTGTGTGTGTGTGTGTGTGTGTGAGAGAGAGAGAGAAACTAAATGAGAGTGCACACAGGACACTCTGATCTCTGAATGTCTCACAGTTAAAGTGCATGACTTGGTAAAAAGGGGGATTGTATTGAGTAAATTGTGACGGTTTGCAAGAGAAAAAGTATTCGGATTAAAAGGGTTCATGCTAAAGTGAATGTGAAGAATGGAAAGTGAAGCTTATTCAGATATGATTGAATGTTCAAATGTAACTGAATTGTCTTTGATAAAAGAGAGAAATAGAGAGAGAATGATAACGTGTGGCTGAGGATCAGTTGCCCTGGTTGATTGAGTAGATATTAGAGAGAGAGAGAGAGATGGGGCGAGTGGGCACTTGACAAAGTCTAAACTGGTGTCAGGGTTCCTGGGTCGGTGACCCAGTGTTTTCAGTTCACACTCACTGTTTATCTACTGCCTGTTCCACTTCCTGTTTTATTGTGTTAGCCTTGGTCTGTGTGTATTATGTTCAGTCCTCTTCCCATTATCATTAGTTCATTATGTTCAGCTGTGTACTCACCGGTCCCTCATTATCATCATTATCACCAGTCTGTGTATTTAAGCCCTCTGTTCTACCCATTCAGTGTCGGGTCATTGATGATGTCGATGATGTCGTTCAGTTCAGTTAAGTCAGCCAGCCATTCAGTCGTCCAGCCAGCCAGCCATTTTCTACCTCTGTTCTGTTCATCCACTCCTTATAATAAACCTTCACCAGTCTTCACCTACCTGCGAGTCCTGCGTTTGGGTTCCTTCCTCCTCGCCTCCACACAACGCCTGACAACTGGGATGTATGGAGGTGTTTTCGGTCTGTTCCCAGCGGTCCTGTAACATTAACAGTTTAGATCATTGGATCTCAGAATTCCAGCAGAGATGCATAGAGGGAGAGAGGACTGCCCATATTCTGGACTTGCTGCGATGTCAATAGGCCAGTCATCCATAAAAACAAAGCAAATCCAGGCATATTTTGAATATTCTTCCTGAGCTAATTACTACTACAGCTGTAGTTTGTGGCTACATGCATTCAGTGGTGTGATAAAGCATTTGTCCCCTTCCTGATTTCCTGTTTTTTTGTATGTTTGTCACACTTAACGTTTTAGACCATCAAACACATTTAAATATAACACATATAAACAAACAAGGGAGTTTTCAAATAAAGGTGTTTACTATTAAGAAGAAAAACCCTACATGGCCCTGTGTGAAAAAGTGTTCACCCCGTAAAACCTAATAACTGGTTGGGCCACGCTTAGCAACAACAACAACTGCAGCGTTTGAGGGCAATGAGTCTTTTACAGTGCGGTGGAAGGGAAGCGGGCGGGCACTTCAAACCACTGTATTCACGCTCCACTCATACTCACGTCTGATCTCAACACACAAACATCAGAATATTCAAAATATTTTTATTATTTTGGTTGAGAAGGGGGAGGGACTAAAATTCACGATGCAAAAAAAAAAGTGATCATTATTATCATGATATTAAAATACAAATACACATAATTCTTTTATATACATAACAGACGCTTTTAATAGTCTGAAACACAAATGTCATTATTGTCCATGTTAAATTGTGGCGTGAGCAAATGAATGAAATAGTAACTGTAAATGTCTTTTATAAGGGAAGTCATGCTTCAAAGAGAACCTCACAAGGTCCTGTGTTTATACACAGAGACCAAAAGCCTGTCCACTTTACTGCTTTACACTAGAATAGACACATTTACTCCAGGTGTTGTCCATCTGCATTTCTGATCTGTTCATCTTCATGTCCCTCAAAGGTTTGAAATAGAGGTAGCCTACTTCTTGGTCACCCTGGGGATAAGAAACAGTACAACAGCTGAGTCACTTTCACATTTATTAAAAAAAACTAACAAACATGGATGGAACGTAAAACTGTGCTTTTTCTTTCAAAAGAAAATGCACTTACATTTGCTTTGAAAAAGGGGGAGTTTTTTGCTGGATAATCTGGAAAACAGAAAACTGTGTCAATATAATGTCATATTCACCGGAGGATAAAAAACAAACATAAGGAATACTAAACCACTTGCCTGTGTATGTGCTCCTGTTTTTCTTTCTTGTCATGCACATTAAGGAAGCCAGTAAAACACTCAGGACGCTGGTGAAAGCTGAAACCCCCCTCCAGAAATACAACAAGAGAAGAGTGTCCCCTTCATCTACTGAGATAGTAACCCAACAAATAAAGTTAAAACACAGATGTTGTCTTGTCAGCAAAACTGGCTTGGTAGGTAAAATGCTAAATGGCCTGTATTTGTATAGCGCTTTACTAGTCCCTAAGGACCCCAAAGCACTTTACACAACCAGTCATCCACACATTCACACAC